CCCCAAAACCCCAAAACCCCAAAACCCCACGCCAAATAAATGGTTGAGAATTATATTATTAATAATAATAAAAATGAAATATCTGCGTATCTTAATCTTATGTATCACAGCTGTGACCGCCAATGTGTGCCAGAACGATGCCCAGACTGCAGGATCTCCTCTCTCTGGAAGTTTCGGGATGGCCGGAATTAATAATGTCTATCTTTTTGATATTTTGGAAGACCAAGATAGTGAATTGCTCTATTTTATTGGGTATTTTGGTTCAGCTCCACAAAACACAATAATCTACAAGTCGGACCCATCCCTGGCCAAAGTGCAAGTGATGACTTATGATATCTACTGCTACTACTATTCCTACGCCATGTCTCCAAGCAGGGAGTTCATCTATATCCAAGACCTGACAACGGGAAAGATATTCGAGGTCAGGACTTCAGACCTGGTCATCTCCAGGGAGTTGTCAGTTAGCTCTGCCTCGGTGGATTGGAATACAAACATGGAAGTGAGTGAAGGCTTCTACTTCAGCATCATCATCAGCTCAATCATGCACACTTGCAGATGGAACATGACAAATACCAATCTCGACTGATTTACTTTCGGAGTCAACAGTCAGGCCAATTTGGCCCCTATCAATGCCGATCTGCTGTTCTTTGGATCGACTGACACAGCAGCCGACCAATACTACCTGGTGAGCTACAACTTCTCCTCTTCCAGCCTGGCCTGGAAGAAGAGCATTGCCTGTCCCACTTCGGGCTGAGTGAACAAATTCAGTAGCTCCCTGGTGAGCAGAGATAAAGAGTGGGTCTACACAATGGTGCTGTACGATGGTAACTTTATTTTCCATAAACTCAGCACCACCGATGGGAGTCCCCAAAGCTCAGGGCTGATTTGGAACGACAGTGGATATGTTGATAGTTACTGAATGAAAGAGTTCAGTGGTTTCATTGCTATTCAGATTTACAGTTCCTCATCATCAAATGTTAAAAGGTTGATCCTGGTCTCCCCCTCGGCAGCAGAAGTTGTGAAGGAGTACAAGTCTGTGGACTCGAAGGCTTTTGCAGTTGGAAGATTGTTATATAAAGGCCAAGAGCTAATGTATCATTCTGGGATAATCCTCACCAATTTTACATTCTTCCTTGCAAGATCACCCACAAACAACATTGGACAACTTTCTGAGTTTGAAGAAGACACTCCTCTGTTCAGTCCAATTACTACTTCCTATCAGGTGTCGTCAACAACATCAAACCCAAGCCTCACCGCAAGCACGAAGACTCTTACTATCTCAACTTCATCGTCCATCGCGACCACTGACATCACATCTTCAACCAATCCTTCGTTCACCAAATACGTGGCTTTGTGAAATCAAGACTACCTCCAGACTGTCCAGAGCAACACTTCGGTGAAATTGGAATTCACCTGGGCCTGAGCTCAGTCTATGAATTACACTGGCATCAGCTTCAGTCTGACTCAAACTGGCTCCAATGCGATACCTGAGTGGGTGAAGTTGGATGCAGACAACCAGGAGTTGCACCTAAAAACCACTCCTAAGCTGGATGCCAAAGCAAACTTTTACTTTTCTCTGAAAATCTCATTCGACAGCGAAGTACATTATAAGAAATTAAAAATCACTGTGGAAGAGTGATCAATCAATCACTGTGAACTCTGAAAACTAGGTAGTCCTAGCATTTGAGAAGCCTGAACAGATGGCTATCAGAGCTCTAATGAGAGCAAATCTTGTTCCAAAATAGTTGCCATGACTGGAGCAACTAAAGCTATTGCTGCTTTGGTGGCAATAAGTGTCGTATTGGCAAGTTCTTCGTCTATCCTGTCATTATCATCGATCAACTCGATCTTTAGCATCATGAACAGTCTACAGCTTGCATGACTGCTTCCTCTTGTTCCTGACTACTTTTCACCCAAAGTGCTTGATATCTTGAGTGGAATGGGGTTCACAATGTTCTCATTCGACTTCATTAAGTTTAAGGATCTCCCGTTTGTAGAAGGTCTTACAAAGTGGGTGTCATATCCTCAGTCCGACGAGTACTTGAACAGCCTTGGAATGAGGTCTGGGAGCTCAATTGTCAATTATTTATCACTAATGGTCATAATCATTCTTGTTGGAATCATTAACTTTGGCATTTTTATGTGCAAAAGATGAACAGAGAACTCTAAGCACACAAAGCGTAAGAAATTTTTCGATAAGTTGTTCAAACTTCTGACTTTCAACATCTATATTAGAATATTCATGCAGGCATTTTTATTCATAACTCTTTCTATTTTCTCTGAACTGTATAATTTCAATTTTGCTAATACTGTGACCCAAATATCCTTTGGTTTGTGAATAATATTTGCCATATGCACAAGTATGCTGTTTATTTTGTCATTTATAATGTACTGAGTCTCATCTGATCAGATTGATAAAGAGAAGTATTGGCTATGAATTGAATACTTCAATGGAATCAAGCCAAATAAATATTCAAAGCTCCATTCTAGTCTGTCCATGTTGGTGAGATTATCGATGACGTCATTACTTATATTTGGCCAAAGTGCTCGTTCATATGAAAAAGCCATATATTTTTATTTGTTAAACATTGGTTACTGCCTTTACTTGATCATTGTCAGACCATTTGAGAATCCTCAGGACAATCTCATTGAGGCCATTAACCAGACATTGTTTTGCTGTCTAGCAGTCCCTCTATCAAGGCTGAATACAAAACAAGATTGGACTCCGTTCTACGAAAGCTATTACACAACAGTATTCATAGTGGCTCCCAGTATTGGAGCCTTAATATGCCTTGGATTCTTGATAAAATCAATCATAGTTTACCTAATTGACAGGATAGCCAGAAAGAGAAAGCAAAATGTTGCTCCTAAAGAGCCCTCGTCTCAACAAAGAGCACCCCAGAACCAAAAAGACCCTAGCTTGAACCCTCCCCCAGACATCAGCAACGTTTCCTTTAGCATGAGCAAAAGTAATGCTCCAATTGCACCTCCTCGAGCCCCTCAAAGAAGACCTTTCGACATATCTGGCCCGGGAAGATCTCAAATGAGGAAACTAAATTATAACGGATAATTATTAAATAATATCTCAGTTGTGAGTTCATACTCCGGGGTTTTGGGGTTTTGGGGTTTTGGGG